TTCCCTGCGTCTTCCTCGGCTTTGTTTCGAACGCGCCTGGTTGGCAGTTTTATCACGCCACCTCGCGACGGGTCTTGCCCTCTCAGGACGTCACTTTTGACGAGTCTGTCCCCTACTACCGCCTCTTCCCCTACCGCACTGCCCCGCTCCCACCCCCGCCTCTCTTCCTCGCGCCAGGTGCTGCTGTCGTAGACCCCCTCCCCCCTCAGGGTGCCGCTCCCTCAAGTGTGTCTCAGGTAGACCCGGTCGAGCCTGTTGAGGTAGCTGTCGACTCTCGTCCTGCTGGGGGTGCTGAGCCTGGGGGTGCTGACTCTGGGGGTGCTGAGCCTGGGGGTGCTGAGCCTGGGGGTGCGGTGACTGGGGGTGCTGAGCCTGGGGGTGCTGGGTCTGGGGGTTTTGACTCTGGCGGTGCTGGGCCTGAGGGTGCTACACCTGGACGAGACCTCTCCTCGGAGCAGTTGCGTGAGTGGTACTTACAGTACTGCAGCCTCCGGAGTGTTACCTCTGGGACCAGGCGCACTACAGGGACTGGTGCTGGTACTTCTCCTCCTAGTCGGGAGCTCCCCTCTCGTGAGCGGATCCGTGAGTTGTACGAGCGCCGTTGCACACTTCGGAGTGGTGCGCCTCGTCTCACGGACCCGGCTGCCCCTGGTGCTACGGACCCGGGCGTTAGAGCTGCTGCTGGTGCTGCGGACCCTGGCGTTGGAGCTGCTGCTGGTGCTGCGGACCCTGGCGTTGGAGCTGCTGCTGGTGCTGCGGACCCTGGCGTTGGAGCTGCTGCTGGTGCTGCGGACCCGAGAGTTGGAGGTGCTGCTGGTGCTGAGGACCCGGGCGTTGGGGCTGCGGCTGGTGTTGCGGACCCTGGCGTTGGAGCTGCTACTGGTGCTGAGGACCCGGGTGTTGGAGCTGCGGCAGGTGCTGTGGACCCTGGTGTTGGAGCCACTGCTGGTGCTGAGGACTCGGGCGTTGGTGCTGAGGCTAGTACTGGGGACCTGGGCGTTGGAGCTGCTGCTGGTTCTGGTACTGCCGCTGGGGGTACAGGTGCTGTCCCTGCTGTGTCTGGAGTCGCCGCGCGCCCTCAGGTGTACTTCGTTCTGCTCCTTCAGCAGGTTCTTGGTCTCTCGCCTCCTCCTGGTCCTCCTCCTTTAGCGTGTTCACAGCCTGTCCCGTCACAGCTACAGTTGCAGCCGGCCTCCCCACTACCTGCTCCTTCTCCTTACACTGGTCCTACTGGCGGTCTTACTGAGCGTCGTGAGTCTGCGTCTCGTCCTGCGTCGCCTGTCCGTCCTGCTAGCGCTAGTGCTCGTAGTTCGCGCCAGCGTCCTCCTTTGCCCCTGGCACGCACCGGATGTCTCTACGTCCGTCTACTGCTCCTCTGCGTGCCCCTTTGCTTTCTCCTCCTGCGTCCTCTCTTCCTGCTCTCGCCGAACATGCGTCGGACTCTCTTCGTGCTGCTAGTCCTACTGTCACGCGTCTCCTTGCTACTGCCGTCACTGACCCTTCTTTTGAGTCTTCTGCTGCGTCTTCCCTAGTTGCTGAGCTCGTTGACTTTGCTGCTCACTGTCGCCTAGACTACGCTGCGAGTCTTCTCGCCGAGTCTGAGTTTGTTTGTCCTCCGTCCGTCGGGGGTGTGTGTGCCCTTGGCACGGACGTCCTTGAGGACAGGCAGGAGGAGTTCCAGTGCTTGGCCGCTGCTTCACCTCATCTCGTGTCCGTACTGCTTACCCCTGAGGGAGACCCGGATGCACTTGACATCCCGACTCCGCGCTCTTACGCGGAGGCGATAGAGGGTTCCTACTCCTCTCAGTGGCAGGCAGCTATGGATACAGAGATGGCTTCCTGGAAGTCCACAGGCACCTACGTTGACGCTGTCCCCCCTCTTGGGGCGAACATCGTCAGTGGCATGTGGATCTTCAGGGTGAAGCGGCCGCCGGGTTCTCCGCCTGTCTTCAAGGCGCGTTACGTGGCTCGTGGCTTCAGTCAGCGGCAGGGAGTTGACTACTTTCAGACCTTCTCCCCCACCTCGAAGATGACCACTCTTCGGGTACTGCTGCACGTTGCTGCTCACCGGGACTACGAGCTGCACTCTCTCGACTTCAGCACAGCTTTCTTGCAGGGCAGCCTGCACGAGGAGATCTGGCTGCGCCGCCCACCTGGCATCACTGGGTCTTTCCCTCCTGGTACCCAGTGGAGTCTCCGGCGTCCAGTCTACGATCTCCGCCAGGCGCCACGTGAGTGGCACGACACACTGAGGACTACGCTTGCGGCTCTTGGGTTCGCTCCTTCTACTGCCGACCCGTCGCTGTTTCTGCGCACCGACACCTCTCTGCCGCCGTTCTACATCCTCGTGTACGTCGACGACTTGGTCTTTGCCACAGCTGACACTACTGGACTCGCCCACGTGAAGTCCGAGCTGCAGAAGAGACACACGTGCACTGACCTGGGTGAACTGCGCAGCTACCTTGGCTTGCAGATCACCCGGGACAGAGCACGCCGCACCATTACCCTGACTCAGTCACACATGGTGCAGCAGGTCCTTCAGCGCTTCGGCTTCACGTACTCCTCGCCTCAGGCCACTCCTCTGTCTACTCGCCACTCGCTCTCAGCTCTACCTTCGGATGAGTCCGTAGAGTCGAGTGGCCCGTACCCAGAGCTTGTTGGCTGTCTCATGTACCTGATGACCTGAACACGACCTGACCTTGCATACCCTCTTAGCATTCTTGCACGCTATGTTGCTCCTGGGAGACACCGACCAGAGCACATGGCTGCAGCGAAGAGGGTGTTGCGCTACTTGTGCAGTACGTCGGGCATGGGGCTAGTGCTTGGAGGGCGGAGTCCAGTGGTCCTCACTTGACACGCAGACGCTTCTTGGGCTGACGACCAGGCTACGCAGCGGTCGTCACAGGGTTACACCTTCAGCCTTGGTTCCGGCTCTGTTTCGCGGCGGGCTACTCGCTCGTCTTCTGTTCTCGGCTCCAGTTGTGAGGCTGAGATCTACGCAGGGGCCATGGCTGCTCAGGAGCTTCGCTGGCTCACCTACTTGCTGACCGACCTTGGAGAGCCGCCTCGTTCTCCTCCAGTCCTGTACGTCGACAACAAGGCCATGCTGGCCTTGTGTCGGGAGCAGAGACTGGAGCACAGAACAAAGCACATTGCTCTCCGCTACTTCCTTGCTCGTGAGCTACAGCAGCGTGGTCAGTTGCGACTTGCGTACGTGGCCTCTGAGGCCAACACTGCTGATGTCTTCACCAAGGCACTTCCGCCTTGTGATCATCAGCGCTGCTGTACCCAGCTGGGTCTTGTGTCTGTCTTGCCTCACTTGCTCTCCTCTTGACCCTCTTTGTACTGTTACATATATATATACTGCTCTTGCTTGTTTAGTCTTATATATATATATGTACTCCTGCATGTGAACTGGCCTTGTGGCCTTGCACTTGTGCTCGGATTGTGTGGTGACGTTGTGATCCACCCTGAGCTTGCTTTGCTTTGCTTTGCTTTACTAGACTGGTCTTGTGACCCCTAGTTCTCCCCCACTTCGCCTATGGGGGTGTGTCAAACATTATATATGTTGTTGTAGTTGTTTAGGCTACAGTGGGTTACACTACGGACCCATTCTTCACGACTGGAAATCATCAGCAGGCCACGACGCAGAAAGGGGATTATTACCTAAAAGCCGGAACCGACCGGATTTGGGTTCCTGCTTACAGGCTGCTACATGAACTCCTTATCCAGGAGGTCCACGATTCGAACTTCTCCGGACACTTCGGGGTTGATAAAACCCAGAAATTACTGCACCGTCAATATTACTGGCCTGACTCCTCTAACGACGTGCAGCGATTTGTGTCCTCATGCAGGGTGTGCCAAGCCATCAAATCGACACGTCAACGACCAACTGGGCTGCTGCAACCCCTCGAGCCACCCGAACGACTGTGACAACAAGTGACAATGGATTTTGTCACGAGGGTGCCAGCTGGGCCGTCCGGCAACGACGCTGTGCTCGTCGTCGTCGATCGCTTCACGAAGATGGCACATTTTTCCCCATGCTGAACAACAATCACAGCCGAGGAAACTGCGCGCCTCTTCATCTCAACGGTCGTGCGACTGCACGGAATCCCTTCGGCGGTCATCAGCGACCGCGACCCAAAGTTCACATCGAAATCTTGGAAAGAGACACGGGCGCAGTACGGCACGAAGCTAAAGTTCTCATCGGCATACCACCCACAGACGGACGGCCAGACCGAGCGAACCAACCAGACCATGGAGCTGATACGGACAAACTGCCCCGACCCTGCCCGCTGGGAAGAATCACTCGCCATGTTGGAGTTCGCCTTCAACAACGCTCTGTCCAGCACGATTAATCACTCCGTGTTTTTCCTGAATCACGGGATGGATCCGACGGTCCCTACAGCGACTACTCTCAACAACCCGGTCTCGAGGTCACAAACATTTGTGACGGAGCTTCAGGAAGTCCGAGAAAAATCCACAGACGCAATTCGCAAGGCGAATATCACTTTTCGAAAATACACCGACCTTCTACGACTGGAACTCGTCTTGACCGCTGGGCGACTAGTGCTAGTTGACACGAAGAACCTGCACCTGCCCGGCCCGTCGAAACTACGGCCACGATTTTGTGGGCCATTCAAGAATATCAAGATGGTGACACCTGTCACCGCGAAGCTGTTGCTACCCGACGACTGGCGAATTCATGACGCCTTCCACATCAGCCTGCTTCGAAAGTTCGTGCCAGCCCCGACCGACATCGCGAGGCAACAAGCTGCCCCAACTGCACGACCTGTCCCGGAGCCGACTCTTGACCCTTCGAAGATTCTGGGACATCGGGTTCGCCTTGATGCAGCTGGTCGTCACGTGGATTTCCTCATCCTTTGGACTGATCGCACCAGTGAAAACGGCACGTGGGTGCATTCCGACGTGCTGGACACCTCGTCACTTGTTCGTGATTACTTGGCACGCAGGCGTGTTTCGGATATTGACCACCTTTCTTAAGGTTTGACGGGGGGGGGGGGGGGGGGGGGGGGGGGGGGGGGGGGGGGGGGGGGGGGGGTAGTGCAAGGAATTTTCCCAAATTCCTTATCGGGTTTGACTGCTTCGCGTACAGCCCGATTTTCGACACATTGCACGTTCTGTCAAACATTTATCATATAGCTTGTCTAGGCTTTAGTGGGGTAGACACTAAGGGGTACAGTTTCCTAGGGTTTCCTACTTGTACCCAACCTTGTTCTAGTTCATTCATTCCTGTTTCTTCACATGGTATAGAGCGGGTTCCCTAGTGGGACCGTTTCTTCCTAAGGGCCCACTATTAATTTTTTTTTTCCTAACCTGCCTGAAGCGCGCTTTGCGCTCTGCCCTGCCCTACCCTTTTGCGGGCCCCTTTGCGGCCTGCCCTGCTCCTGAGGCCCGTCCCGGCCCCCCTTTGCGGCCCCTTCGCGGCCCCTATGCAGCCCCTTCGCGGCCCCTTCGCAGCCTCGCACCGGCCCCGTCCCCCGTCGCGGCCCCGCCCTGCCTTCGACTCGTTGTCGCGGCCCCGCGCGGCCTGCTTACCCGCTGGCATGGGCCTCTGCGGCTCTGCCGCCCCTTCGTTGCAGCCCCGCCCTGCCCCTCCTTCCGTCGCGGCCTCCACCTGCAGCAGCCGCCGAGGCGAGCCCTGCAGCAGCTACCGCCACCGAACCTGCAGCCGCTGGTGTGACAAGGCGTTGCCGCCGCTGCCGTTGCTGCTGCCCCGGCCCTGCCCCTACAGCCGAGCCGCGGCCCTACCCTGCCGCCCAATTGCGGCCCAGACCCTGCCGGCGCACCACGGCCCGCCCCTGGTAAGCCGCACCGCCGAGCCGCACCGCCTTTCCGAGCCGCGCCGCCCTGCCGAGTCGCGCCATCTAGCCGAGTCGCGCTGCTGCTGCTACTGCTAGCCTACTGCTGCTGCTGTCATGGCTAGTCCTACAGTTCTTACCTTTGATGCTGAGGGTCGAGCAGTCAATTTTGAGGTCTGGGTCGATGATCTGCAGCTGCGATAGCAAGGACGGTATCTCACTGTTCGATCTCATGTCTGGAGCCTCTCTACTGCCCCTGCTGCCGATGCTGACAGTACTGTTCGCTCACAGTGGACCACCCGCGATGCTGCCGCCCACCTTGCTGTGCGTAGTCACCTGCCGTCCACTAAGCGCGCCGCACCTTAGTCAGTACAAGACTGCTAAGACACTGTACGACGCTGGTAGTTGCACGCTACTCCTCCCCTGCCACTGCTTGCCCTTAGCCGCCTCATGCCTGCCGTACCTGTTCCTGACCTTCGCTGCCTTTGCCACAGTCGCTGACCTCATTACGCACCTCCGCACTAGTGACGGCCCGTTACCGCGCTACGCTTCCTGCTGAATTCTGCGCCAAGAACCCCCCCCCCCCCCCCCATGTACAACACCCCTCTACTACCTAGTCACCCGGCTCCCTGACTCCCTTCGCTCGATCAGGGACCACTTCCTCTCTGTTTGCCCCACCACACTCACCGTTGAACCTCCTCGAGGAAGCGCCTCCTTGCAACTGAGAAGAGTATAGTTGCTGTAGGAACCTCTCGTGGTGACCCTCGTGTCCCTTTCTTTGAGGGGTGCTCCCCCGTCCCCCTTTTTGCCCTCTGTTGCCTCTGCTTGCTACTGTCGACCTCGTTGGCACCGAGTCGGTAGGCGCGCATCTGCTCCTAGTGGGAGGCGCCGCAACGGCAAGGGCAAGGGGGGCAAGGGCGCTGGAGGAGCTGGCGGGGGCGGCGGGGTGGTGGCCGTGGAGGCTTGCGGAGGGGGTGGGAGTGGTGGCGGGGGTGGGGGCTTCGGTGGCGGCGGTGGAGGTGGAGGCGGCGGCGACGGCGGCGGTGGGGGTGGAGGCGGCGGCGGCGGCGGCGGAGGTAGCGCTGGTCGGGGTGGAGCTCGCAGCGGGGAGACTTTGGTGGTGGTTAGCGCCAAGCAGCAGCAGCAGCGCTCTTGTGAGACCCCGTCGGCCCAGTAGCTTCGTGAGTGGTACGCTGCACGCCAGCGGTCTGGGGGTGCTGGTCCCTGTGCCTATGTCCTGCGTACAGGCGACCGCACTGGGGAAGTCGGGCAGCGGGCCGCACGCCACCAAGCGTTGTTATGGCCGCCTGACGGACGCCTGGCGTATCCAGTTCCCTGAGGCCACGAGATCCCTCGCTAGGGTGATTTGCTCAAGTCGGGTGTAGCTATCTTTGATCTTGATTATGATGCTATATCTTGCTGCCATGTATGTTGTGTCCTACTATTCTCAGGGTGACTGTTACCTGTGTATACCGCCTGACCCGGGCATTGAGGCTGCTGCTCTAGGTGCTAGTGAGTCTGCTACTCCAGGTGCTGGTGAGTCTGCTCTCTCAGGTACCCGCGTCGGCTCAGGTTGTAAACACCTTCACCCTTGGAAGCTCAGGTTGTGCAGACAAGTCGCGGACAAGCTGTCCTCCCGTGCCGTTCCATGCGTCTTTCTTGGCTTCCCACCTGACCGCGCCTGGTTGGTAGTTTTACCACCCCACCTCGCGCCGTGTTTTGTCCTCTCCCAGGACGTCACGTTTGACGAGTCGGTTCCTTACTACCGTCTCTTCCCCTACCGCGCTGCCCCCCTCCCCCTTCCGCCGCTCTTTGTCACGCCAGGTCCCCCCCCGGTAGGACCCCCTCCCCCTCGGGGTCCTGCCCCCTCAGGTGTTGTCCCAGGTAGACGCAGTCAAGCCTGTCGAGGTAGCTGTTGATCTCTGGTGCTGCTAGGGGTGCTGAGCCTGCAGGTCCCGGGTCTGAGGGTGCTGAGGCCTGAGCGTGCGGAGCCTGGGGGTGCTGAGTCTGGGGGTGCTGACCTTGGGGGTGCTGAGCCTGGGGTTGCTGAGTCTGGGGGTGCGGAGCCTGAGGGGTGCTGAGCCTGGCGCGTGTGGGAGTTGTGGAGGTGCTGAGCCTGGAGGTCCTTCGGGTGCTTCGTCCCGGCTGGAGCCACTCTCTCCACAGCAGCTGCGCGAAGTGGTTTGCTCGGCGCTGGAGCCGTGCTTGCTGGAGCTGGTAGTGCTGCCGGCGCTGGAGGTTCTAATGCTGCTAGGGGTTGCTGAAGCCACGGGTCCCGGAGGTGCTCGTACTGGAGGTACTGAGCTGCTGGGCCTGGTGGTGCTACTGGTGCTGGAGTGCTGGCGGTACTTGAGCTGGTGGTGCTGCTGGAGTAGGAGCTGTTGGAGGTACTGGAGCCGGAGCTGCTGCGTCTTGCGGTGGTCCTGCTGGAGCTGGAGTTGCTGCAGGTGCTAGAGCTGGAGGTGCTGCTGGAGCCGGTGCTCCTGTGGGTGCTAGAGTTGTCGCTTCTGGAGCAGCTGGAGCTGCTGGAGTCGGAGCTAACGCTTGGGGGTGCTGGTGCTGTCCCTACTGGTTCTGGAGGTTCTGCGCGACCACGGCCGTACTTCATTCCGCTCCTTGAGCAGGTTCTTGGTCTTCCGTCTTCTACTGGTCCTCCTCCATCCTTAGGATGTCCACCGCCTGTCCAGTCCGAGTCACAGTTACAGCTGGCCTCCCCACTGCCTGCTCCTTCTCCCTACACTGGTCATACTGGAGGTCTTGCTGAGCGTCGTGAGCCTGAGTCTTGTCCTTCGTCGCCTGTTCGTGCTACTCGCACTGGTCGTCGTGTTCCGCGTCAGCGTCGTCCTGCGGTTCCCGTGCACGCACCAGGATGGCACTGCGTCGTTCCACAGCTCCAAAGCGTGTCCCTTTGCCGTCCCGTTCAGAGTCCTCTCTTCCTGCTCTTCCTGACCCCAGAGTCTGACTCCCTTCGTGCTGTTAGTCCTATCTGTCATGCGTCTCCTGGCTACTGTTGTCAATTGACCCTTCCTTTGAGTCCACTGCTGCATCTGCCTTAGTTGCTGAGCTTGTCGACTTCGCTGCTCACTGTCGTCTAGACTACGCCGCCAGCTCTTGTTGCTGAGTCTGAGTCCGTCTGTCCTCCGTCCGTCGGGGGTGAGTGTGCTCTTAGCACGGACGTTCTTGAGGATAGGCAGGAGGAGTTCCAGTGTTTTGCTGCTGCTTTACCTCATCTCGTGTCCATGCTAGTTGCCCCTGAGGGAGACCCGGATTGCACCAGTCATCCCGACCCCGCGCTCTTACGCAGAGGCGATAGAGGGTCCCTACTCCTCTCAGTGGCAGTCAGCCATGGACGCAGAGATGGCTTCCTGGAAGTCCACAGGCACCTATGTCGACGAGGTTCCCTCACCTGGGGTGAACATCGTCAGTGGCATGTGGATTTTCAGGGTGAAGAGGCCGGCGGGTTCTCCGCCTGTCTTCAAGGCGCGGTACGTGGCTCGAGGCATCAGTCAGCAGCAGGGAGTTCACTACTTTCAGACCTTCTCTCCCAACCCGAAGATGACCACTCTTCGGGTGCTGCTGCACATAGCCGCCCAGCGCGACTACGAGCTTCACTCTCTTGACTTCAGCACTGCTTTCCTACAGGGCAGCCTGCACGAGGAGATCTGGCTGCGCCGCCCACCTGGCTTCACTGGGTCGTTTCCTCCTGGTACCCAGTGGAGCCTCCGGCGGCCAGTCTACGGTCTCCGCCAGGCACCCCGTGAGTGGCATGACACACTGAGGACTACTCTTGCGGCTCTTGGGTTTGCTCCTTCCACTGCTGACCCGTCGCTGTTTCTCCGCACCGACACCTCTTTGGCCGCCGTTCTTACATCCTCGTGTACGTCGACCGACTTGGTCTTTGCCACTGCTGACACTGCTGGACTCGCCACGTGAAGTCCGAGCTGCAGAAGAGACACACGTGCACAGACCTGGGTGAACTGCGCAGCTATCTTGGCTTGTAGATCACCCGGGACAGAGCACGGCGCACCATTAACTTGACTCAGTCACACATGGTGCAGCAGGTCCTTCAGCGCTTCGACTTCACGTACTCCTCGCCTCAGGCCACTCCTCTGTCTACTCGCCACTCGCTCTCAGCTCTGCCTTCGGATGAGTCCGTAGAGCCGAGTGGCCCGTAACCCAGAGCTTGTGGGCTGCCTCATGTACCTGATGACCCTGCACTCAACCTGACGTGGCATACCCTCTTAGCATCTTGGCAAACTATGTTGCTCCTGGGAGACACCGACCAGAGCACATGGCTGCAGCGAAGAGGGTGTTGCGCTACTTGTGCAGTACGTCGGGCATGGGGCTAGTGCTTTGGAGGGCGGAGTCCAGTGGTCCTCACTGGTCACGCAGGCGCGTCTTGGGTTGACGACTTGGCTACGCAGCGGTCATCACAGGGTTACACCTTCAGCCTTGGTTCCGGCTCTGTTTCATGGCGGTCTACCCGCTCGTCTTCTGTTCTCAGCTCTAGCTGTGAGGCCGAGATCTACGCGGGGGCCATGGCTGCACAGGAGCTACGCTGGCTCACCTACCTGCTGACTGACCTGGGAGAGCCGCCTCGTTCTCCTCCAGTTCTGTACGTAGACAACAAGGCCATGATGGCCTTGTGTTGGGAGCACAGACTGGAGCAAAGAACGAAGCACATTGCTCTTCGGTACTTCCTTGCTCGTGAGCTGCAGCAGCGTGGTCGCTGCGCCTTGCGTACATGGCCTCTCGGGCCAACACTGCTGATATCTTCACCAAGGCACTTCAGCTTTGTGATCATCAGCGCTTTTGAACTATGTTAGGTCTTGTACCTACCTGGCCTTACTTGCTTACCTCTTGACTTTGCTTTATACTGTGATCTATAAATACCTGCACCTGCATGTTTACCTTTATGTATAATCCTTCATGTGAACTGGCCTTGTGGCTTTTGAACTTGTGCTCGGAATGTGTGGTGACGTTGTGATCCACCCTGAGCTTGTTGTGCTTTGCTCGACTTGTCTTGTGACCTCTTGTTCTCCCCCACTTTGCCTACGGGGGTGTGTCAAACATTTATCATATAGCTTGTCTAGGCTATAGTGGGGTAGACACTAAGGGGTACAGTTTCCTAGGGTTTCCCACTTGTACCCAACCTTGATCTAGTTCATTCATTCCTGTTTCTTCACACGTTCGGCCGATTTCAACGATGTCGAGGCTCCTCGCGTCGCCTTTGGCATTTTCCCATCGCCAAACCTGCACTCAACCTCGCTCGTCCGAGGTTCCCTCCTAGCTAGGCTAGTCCCTACATTAGTCTATGCCTTCATTGTATTCTCAGATCATTCAATCACAGTCTCGTTATTCGTTTATCTGCGCACTCTCTTTTACAACTGTAAGGAAATTTCTTTTTCCTTACTTCGCTTCACTGATCAGCGCGTACACCACTGTTCTCGCCAACAGCACCCAACAGTAGTCTGGTAGCACTCGCGACAGTTGCCTCGACATTATTCCCGCCACCGTTCACGACACGACCCAACCTTACGGTTCGATTGGTAACCCGCGCTCCGGACCTCCGCCTCGTCATTTTCCCAACCTCGGCGCAGGCCTAGCGCGCACCCCATTTTCACGCATTACCGTTACCACTGTAGTTTCGCTCTATTTTCATGCCTTCGCTCATTGTACTTTTTGCTTCGATAGTGCAATTCTCGCTCGCTCACTCAATTGCACTCGTAACACCTGGTATTCAGAGCCTACGATCTCTTCTCGGACCGCACCCACACCTTCGTTTCCCCACTATCTCAATTTTTGGGTGGGGTAGATGTCTCTCAGCGAAACAAGCACCGCCGCTCTTAGTGCTCTCTCGTAATCACGCACGGCCACGACAGAGGCTCTCGCTGAGGCTTGCCCGACACCCCCGCCAAGGCCGAATTCACTCTCGGGACACTGCCGCAGGAGCAACTCGACCGGTCTCTCGTGCGCCAAGTCCGACGATTCGGCGCTTGAGAATTGCGACGCTCACGGCGTAAAGTGACTCCGCGTGTCAGCAATCCACCGGTAAATACTCCAGCGCCACCACACACACCTGCAAATGCACTTCCGCACAATCTGAAAGGCCGATCGTCATTTCATCAGGCACACCAACACAAACGACAGCATGGGACAGCGCTCAGGCGCAGCCAGTGATGGCGCCGCTCACGATCAATTGAGAAGAAACAAGGAGAATAACTATGAATGAATTGGGTACATAGTACTAACCCTAATTGGGTTGCACCCCTTATGGGCTACCCCACTATAGTCTACACCAATATGCATAAGCTATAATTTTCAGAGCACCACCCCCATAGGCAAAGTGGGGGAGAACAAGGGGTCACAAGACCAGTCACGCAGAAAGCAAAGCAAAGCAAGCTCAGGGTGGATCACAAAGTCACCACACATTCCGAGCACAATTCAAGGCCACAAGGCCAGTTCACATGCAGGAGTACACATATATAT